ATGCGGAGGTAGCGATACCCGGCGACCGCATCGGAAAACAAAAGGCCCAGCCGCGGATAGACCAGGAGCCGTAGCCGGGGAGGGGGGAGGGGGGGCGTCTTAATTCGGAAGGGGGCTACCTAGGACTGACTACCAGAATTGGTGGGCCACTCGGCCGAGAGCCGTGGATCCATAAATTCCGAGCGGTGCTCCCGGCTCTGGCGCTGGCCACTGCACTGCTGCTCCGGCTCCTGCTCCTGCCTGCTCCTGCCGCCGCTGCTGCTGGATTCGTAGAGCGAGAGCAGCGGCTCCGAGCGACTACTGGTGTTGTGGCTCCGAGCCCGAGCTTACTCCCGCACGCTCCCGTTGCCGGCTTCACAGGAAAACCCATTCATTTTCATTCACAATCCACCGGTAGACTGGGGCATAGGCCAATCCAGACACTTCAAATCGGGCAGGGGGGCGTATGGGGGGGTCCTGAAGGCTCCCCCTCGAAAATTGTCGAAATTGCAAAGCATCTAATATGCAGGTGGAGTCAATTCTGTCATGAATGGTTACCAAATGTAAGCAACCTCCCTTCTTCTTTCCTCCCTCCCTCCCTCCCTTCCTTCCTTCCTTCTATCCTTCCTTCCTCCCTTCCTTCCTTCCTCCCTCCCTCCCTCCCTCCCCTCCATCCTTCTTTCCTTCCTTCATTCCTCCCTTTTATCCTTCTTCCCTTCCTTCCTTCCTTCCTTCCTTCCTTCCTTCTTTACTTCTATCCGTCCTCCTTCTTTCCTCCGTTCCTTCGTTCCTTCGTTCCTTCCTTCCTTCTATCCGTTCTCCTTCTTTCCTTCCTTCATTCCTTCCTTCCTTCCTTCCTTCCTTCCTTCTTCTTTCTTCCCTTCCTCCCTCTCTCCCTTCCTTCCTTCTTTCTTTCTTCCTTTCTCTTCTTTTCTTTCTCCTTATTCCGGACAAACAAGGGGGCGTAGGGGGCTCACGCCCCTTAGGCCTCTCCTGGATCCGCCTGTGGACTGGAGTGCCTACATTGACAGCGAATGGCCGATGTGCCGGTTTCTCATTGGTCGCGAGAAATAGGCTGATACAGTGCACTTACGGCCGTGAGTAAACAAACAAGGTGCCTACTCCAGGCAACCATTGAAATCCCTCCAGAAGGAATTAGTGAAATAATCATTAAATATCAGATAAAGAATATAATTATCTGATGAAAAAAACAGGACTAATTTTACGTCACGATAACGGAAAAGCAGTTGTTTCAGAAAAGTGTGTCAATGATGCACCACCGTGATTCGTGGGAAAAGCGACAGCTCCGGATAAATCTCTGGTGCTTAAGCGTGTTGACGCATAAGAAACGCCTTCACTGTGGGAAGATACTTCCTAGCGTGGCCGCGGAGGCCGAATAGTTGCATCATATAAAAACCCCGATCAACGATGTAGCAGCGTAATTGATGAGTGAAGCGGTTGCTTCCGATAAATCTTTGATGGAGCGTGTCGAGGCATAAGAAACGCCTTCACTGTGTGAAGATACTTCCTAGCGTGGCCGCGGAGCCCGAATAGTTGCATCATATAAAAACCCCGATCAACGATGTAGCAGCGTAATTGATGAGTGAAGCGGTTGCTTCCGATAAATCTTTGATGGAGTGTGTCGAGGCATAAGAAACGCCTTCACTGTGTGAAGATACTTCCTAGCGTGGCCGCGGAGGCCGAATAGTTGCATCATATAAAAACCCCGATCAACGATGTAGCAGCGTAATTGATGAGTGAAGCGGTTGCTTCCGATAAATCTTTAATGGAGCGTGTCGAGGCACAAGAAACGCCTTCACTGTGAGAGGATACTTCCTAGCGTGGCCGCGGAGGCCGAATAGTTGCATCATATGAAAACCCAACAGTGTAAAATCGCTACCTCTCAAAAGAGGATAACACACACACGGGGAAAATCATGATTTTCCACGAGCATGAAATGAGATGGAGTTGTGAGATTTTTCAAAGTTATGACCTTTAGGTCTAAAATGAGGTCCCTTCTACGGGGGACTATGAAGGTTTTACGCAGGAGTTTTTCAGGGTATACAATTATACATCCTGAAGAGTCCATATCAATCAAAACCCCGATTTCGAAAAAGTGAACAAATGGGGCTTTTCAAATCGCACGTTCATTTTCATGTGTTCGCGACGTCGAAAAATCGAAGAATTCACTAGGGTAAGGTTAACTGATTAAAATAGAAAATTGATACATATTCAACTGGGAGCGGTCGCGGCTTTGAAAAGAGCAGATGAGCGGTGAGCTTTGGAGACCTGAACGATCGGGCAAGAAAAACATCCAAAAGAGGGATGAAACGGATTTAGAGAGAAAGAGGTGACGAGAGGGGTGACGGAGAGAGACGGCTGCGTCGGGGGGGGGGCGGAGGGGGGCACAAGAGAAAGAGACAAAGAAAGACAATGGCAAAGGAAAAACCTCGCCGACATCATTAACATTTCTTCTCATCCTCTTTCGTTTATGATGTAAGCCTCCGAGGATTTTTCGCCGCACGACTTTGGCGCAGTTGCCGCGCAGCAGTGGAGCGTCGTGATTTGCGATACATCGATTAATCCGTTTAAACCGATGGGAAAGGATCGATGGACAGGGTGTCCGCAACGAGCACCTTCATAATGGACCACTAGACAAGGTTCGAATTTCAGCATTCTGATATGTGTTTCTTCACCAAAATTTCACGTAAAACACGATGTGCACAACGAAAATTACCGAAATCAACTCCTTCCGAAGATATTTAATGATTCTTAATGCGTGAATTGAAACCACCCGCTCATGAAAACTCAATGCCCTACGTGATTCACATCGCGAGCTAAACGTTATCATGAACGTCTCTGCGATAAAAAAATCTGGCAAACTCAATCTTGACACTTTGGCTCAGCTATAGCAAATTACTCATAGTTTGAAAAACACATGGTGTAAAATGAACATTGCTCGATTGAGAAGCTTGCTGAAACCGTTGTGGTGCGCGATTTGACTCACGTAGAGCTTTGAGTTTCTTGTGAGCGGGCAGTTCAAATTTCTTTAACCAATGTGAAATATTTAAAAATGTTAATATCTCCGTTGGGAGTTGGTTTCAGTAATTTTCGTTGCGCAAATCGTGTTCTACGTGAAATTCTGATTAAGATACATGTATCAAAATGCTTAAATTCGCACCTTGTCTAGTGGTCCATTGATTCTTTGCCATAGCTTCAAATGGGAAAATATCGATGATCAGTCACGCCTCGCTACTGTCACGGCGGCACGAAGCGAATCATAGGAGACTATTTTGCGACCCTAAAAGGCTGACTTTTCTTGACTAAGTATGAAAACCTACGGCAGTGTTAACCAATGGCGGGGTGTGAATGATCGATTATCGATTTTCCCTCATTTGAACCTGTGCTATTGAATTCCCTAGTAAACCTATGAATATTTTTCTTCCAATTTTTCAGATAATTTTGTTCGTAACTTCACCTGAAGTTCCTGAAAATTTCTCGGAAAAATATTCATAACTTTCCTCAAAAATAAACATTTTATTGAAGGAAATTTGGCAACTCTCGAATGTTCATAGGGCGCTCTTCCTTGACACGGCAGTATGTGTACCTCCTTTTTTTTACTCATATGCCCATTTTAATCCTCAGAAATGTTAAAATTCCACTGAGGCTTTCGACGCAGGTATTTCAAAAGTTGTGTTCCGATAGCGCTCTCCATCTTGTAGGGGTGATTTTTCAGTCCTGTCTGTTTTCGGTGAATGAGAGTAGCGAATTTTTCTTTCCTCCTTACTGTGCTGTCATCCTCAAAATATTCACATCAAGCTGTTGTCAAGGAATTGCTTGAAATGCATGTGCCAACTTCAGTGATCGACATTGATTTCGCAGAAACTTTGTCCGTGCTGGTAACTTCAAAATGAATTAGCTGACTTCGACTGTCGCGTCGTTTGGGTGGCACACTTAAGTTATATTAAATCAAATTTTATTGAAAAAAGTTCTTCGTAAAATTTCCACCAGTCATCCGAAAGCCTCTCAAAAATCGTTTGGATGATCAAAATGGACGAATTTTATTTCCAACTATGTAAGAAGGATCGTTGCCATTTCCATGTTAGGATCGTAATACGCAAGACAGCTATAAGTGCTTCCTTCGTTTTTGCGTTGCGTTTTGGACACACAACGAACTAAATTTCCGGTCAGAAATGACCAGAAAAAGGCGGCATTTTTACTTAAATGTACCGCTGTGACCGGCTCTCTGGTGGAATTATGCTCTTTACGACTTTTTAGTCTGGAACACTGTCAACTTGGGCGCACTTACGGCTCTCTCATCATAGGCGGATCCTGACTCCTCAAATTGAGAGAGGGGGACGTAAGGGGGGTTCGGGGGCCACCTTCAGAAAATTGTTGAAAATTGTTGAAGCATCTTTGATGCTGTTTGAGTTCATTCCGGCATAAATAATTACCAAATTTAAGCGCATTTCCTTCTTCTTTCCTCTATCCCTTGCTTTTTTCCCCTCCTCTTTTCTGGGCGCACGGGGGGAGGGGGGGGCGCCCTCCGAATTCGCCTACGTCTCTCATACCTACCTATGTCTCGTTTCCGTACAAATAAGACACATTGTGCGGTTTTAGCTGCTCCAGTGATTTCATCCAAATTCGACGAGACGAATTTCGAAAGAAACTCGATTTCGAAAATCGGAGAGTTCCGGCTCCCTCGACTGCGACGGGAGCGCAAGTTCCCACGTTTCACCTGAGTCTAAACAAAAGAATTAAGAGCGAGCTGGCAGCCAGGTAAAAATGCGGCACCGTTGCCGTTGCCGTCACCGATGTCGTCATTGAACAATCGGAGTTCACCTTTGCCGGCCGGAGAGGAGTTTGAGGTAAAGAGGGGCTCCCCCCGACCCCCGGGCTCCGAGACCCGAACCGGTTCCCCTCCGGATGGCGGCTCACCCACAACGCCCCCCCTCCCCCCACCGCTGCCCCCCTCCCGGGGCCGGTAACTCGGTAGAATGTTACGACTCGACTGCTCGTAGAATGTCGGATGCTCGGGCAAGTGCGGTGATCAGCGCGGCGTAGCACGGTTGTGTGTGGTGCCCGCTCGCGAGTTGAGTTTGTTTACTCCAGGCCGCGACGCATGGTGCACGCTGCTCCTTGCTCGTCTACGAGGTGCGATGTCGTAGAGAAGTGTTTCAGTGCGATTTGGATTACCCTCCACGTTTTGGATTAACCCCACTTTGGATTAACTCCCTCGTCCTGCTTCTGTAGATATAAGTCAAAGGTAGGTTTCAGAGAATGTTAAACCTCAACAACTCGGCTACAGGAATGTTTCAACTTGAGTTCGATTTTCATTCGGTTCCGGGACTTGTGTAACGCTCAAAAGATGCTGGTGACTGTTCCGAACATGATGATACAACAGGTTCAAGCGCCCGAACTTTATCCCGCAACGGCCGCACCTGTTGCTCTATTCGCGAGAGACCAGAAAATATACAAAAATGCAAGTTGAATTGAATCAGTGAGAACGAAAACACACCAACTCGGTAACTTGAAAATGCTCAATTATCATTTGAGACACTTTATTTTCATAAAGGGCATTGGAGTTAGCGCATCTGCTCCAACTTGGACCTTTAAAGTGTCCTGAAGTACTCGTCTTTTGGCACTAAAAATCTTTTCCCCAGACTAACCTCTTCACCTAATGTGCTTCATTTTTTGGAGTTGGAGTGTTTTCGTTCCCACTGACTCAATTACAAGATTGATTAGACTTCCCTAAAAGTTTTGAATTATGTATTTTCAGCGTATTCCGCAAGTGTCTCCTTCGTAAATGGGGCATGGAGACTGCGTGATTCTCACGTTTTAGATGGGGATAATCGAGTTCCTATCTTGTTCGCTGTTTAATGAAATCAGTTGGATTTCCCTCGGATTACATAAGTGATAGAGGTGAAACTACCAGATATTTTCATCTTGAGGGAAAAGCGATGATTTCAAAAGGTGACGACGAGCATTACGCTTTGATTTACACAGTGGACTAGGTAAGTCTTCTCGGCGACCACAGCTTTCCTGGCGGGACGCAGGAACATGAATCTTGCGCAACAATATAAATACTGAGCTCAGCAGTAAGATTCATCATTTACATCCTGTTCCTGGCCTTTCTGCTGCTGACAGTCAGTCATTTTCGTCAAAAACTGTATTGAGGACAACCTAGAACTGAAGCATTGGATGCAGAAAGGACATTTCTTGGTTTTGGTGTTTCAGAACCTCCAGTGACAATTCTTATTTCAGAGAGCAAAGCAGCTATTGGGTGAATTTTCTGAAATTTTACGTTTCAGTACTGTAGAATCATAAAGAATATTCAGTGAAAGTTACATTAAATTACACACATTTGCTGTAATTAAAATGAATGAAACGTTAGCGGAGATTTTTAGACACGACTGCAACCAAGAACTGTCTTTTCTGCACTTAGCGCTTCAATTAGCGAGGTCATCCTCTAAAAGACTTACTTCCAATTATATTTAAGCGATTTATAAAATCGAAAATTAAGTTTTTGGAGGTTCGGTAGTGCTCAGGCATAGAATACATCTTGCTGCAAAGTGACAGGCAGAAAACCGGATTTTCAGGGCCTAAAAAAATCTGAAAAGTACAGCCATTCTCAGAAAGACCAAAGCGCCTGTTCCCTTTTTTTTCTTATTTTCCCGTGCAACTTTAAGGCAGTTTCTAAAATAACCGCAAACCGGTTTAAAGTTACACTCTTCCCTTACATTCATTTTTATCTCCGAGATTTAGAACGGGTCGCGATTCAAACAGTTTTTGCTGTTTTTTCCAATTTTCATCTCGTCTGTCAGAAAATGTCTGAGAAAGACTGATTCAATTTTTGTTGAGGATCATAGTTGCTTATAGATCTAAAATAAAAATGAAATCCACCCGAACATCAAGTTTCTACGTTCTATGTTTATCGGCAAAATCGCCCTCCAGGAACCACGAGTGCACAACTTCATCCACACGGTAGCGCATACCATTATTCTACCTTGAATTGGACCACATTTTGCAATTCAGCATTACCATTTCTAGCTCATCTGTAAAAACACGTTTGTGCAAAGGGAAACTAATACTTACGTCGTTTCTGCGTCGTTTCTAAAATGAGCCAGGTGCTGTAGTTCCGAATTGCAAAATGCAGCCCGGAATTCTTCAATCGGCGATGCTGATGCAAGTGATGCACTCATTCGCACTAGTTGCTCGCGACACAAAAACGCAAGAGAAAACACGGTTTGCGTAACTGCTATGGATGACGTCATATGCCGTGTTTTCATGGGCAGTACCTCCGTTAATGCACGTTGGAAGTGGGAGCTTTCGACGGACTTTTTTTTTTTTTTTTTTTTTTTTTTTTTTTTTTTTTTTGCTGATCCATCAGCGTAAGTAAACCATCGTAACGCGAATGTATGAATATAACGCTACTGACCCATTTCCGTTCAAGCGGAGTTTTTGTCACGTCTTAATTTTTTATCTGAACGTGGGGACGACACGACGTGTGCGCGAGTTTTCACGAGCGAAAACCGAAAACATGCGGGGTGCCCGACTGCCGCGCTAAGGAAAAACGCCGTATGAACATTCGAGAGTTGCCAAATTTCCCTTGATAAGTCATGTATTTTTGACGAAACTTATACATATTTTTCCTTGAAATTTTCAGATATTTCAGATTAAATCACGTATAAAAAGTGTATTAAAATTTTAGAAAAAATATGCCCAATTTTTCCAGTGAATCCGATCTCTATCAAAGGAAATGTGGCAACGTCTGAAGGCTCATATGGCGTTCTTCCTTAGCACGGCAGTACTCGAGTGCGTGCATTATGCTCCGCTCCGGTTTGTTTTCGACTGATTTCCACGCAATTGGACGCAATTGGGCACAGTTGGACGGATCATGGAAACGGGAAACTGGAAGAATGGGAGATGACAGCGTGGTAAGCTCGACTGGCTGACGAGCTTTGACATGCGTTGAGAGATCGGGGGCACACAGGAGCGTGTTGGAACGAGCGCAGGTAACGCACGTTATTGCGTCAATCCGTGCGTTAAGCCTCATCGAGCAACCCGCTGACTTTTTTAGCCTTGCACGTAAAACTCCATCACACTTTTGGAATTCATGATATTCCCTTATTGTCGGAAAGCAAGGTTCAAGTCACCCGGGACTGAGGCAATGTTCATGTTCGGTCTTAAAAAGTTGAAACTTCATTCGATGGCAGCATTCCACGCGGACCCAGTGTAATCCCAATTCGCTAGGGAACGCTCAAAATTCGATTTTTTGGAAGGTGCACGAACATTTTTTTTCGAGTCAAAATTGAAGAAAATCTGAGGGCAAATTCGGATTCAGCGCATCAAAATTGGAGAGAATACGTGTGTTGAATGTATTCATACTGAATGGGAAGCCGTAATGATTATTTTGGATCACCGACAAGTGAAATGGGACCAGAGTGGGACGTGGTTCGGTTCAAAATCGTTCCTTACTCTGATTCTTGCCGTAGGGACGCTCTGCGTGATTTACGTTTTCATGAAGTGAGGTTTAAGGATGTCCTTAACGTAATATTATAAAAAAGACAAGTTTATGGAGCTTGAACAAGATGCTTCAGTTCATCGGAGGAGTAGATCCTTGCAAGATATTACGATGACTTGCCACGGCATAAAGTATAAAAACGACTGAAAAAGTTTGTTTTGTCTTATTTTAAAGTAGGGATCCTAAGTTAAAAATTTTAAAACTTGTAGCGTATTTTCTTTCGTATTTTGTACTTAGGGNNNNGGGGGTGTGTGCAAATGATTGTAATTCCTGCAACGCAAAATTTGTCCTTCCTGTAATGATGTGTAAAGGAGTCCTTAAACCCGCTTTAGTCATAACGTGGGGCATCTTTAACGCTCCTTAAGAAATTATTTTTTAAGGAACGACTAAAAATACGGCCCTAAGTTTCTATAAATGTCATACTTTAACTTTGAAGTATTTTTCACAGAAGTATTTATGGCATTAGAAAAGAGCAATTCGATATTTTTGAAACCTTTACACTTTCAGGAAATGTGATCGAAAATTTAATGGAAGTTTGATGTGCAGGTTGACACCTGACTCAAATATTCCAGGAAAACTACGGAAGCCATACACAAAATCTCTGCAGGACGGATGACAAATCTAACTCGAATTTTCAAAGTACAATAACTATGACTCATTGCTCTTTCTTAAATTTCCAATTCACTTCGTTCCTTGGGGTTTTCCAGAAGACTTTCCTTATAAATCAACGATTACTTATTAGATCTCAAGCGTCTTTTGTACCTTAAATTGCATCACAAAATCATAAATTTTTTTGTAATCTGAAATTCTGTAGATTTTTCTCTGTAAACCCTTGATAAAACCTAACATAAGACATGTCTGATGTTATCATCTTCGAATTTTCACGTTTAATACGGGTGTAATGGAAATACAACAAGGAAAAACGCAACTTGAGAATTCAAATTTAGCCAAATTTCCTCTCAGAGACAATTTATTTTTGAGAAAAATGATGAATATTTTCCTTTCGAATTTTCAGACTATGTGGATCAAAACACGAACAAAATTCTCTGACAAATCAGAAAAAAATATTTACGGATTCCCCGAAAATACATGAGTTTTGACGATGTCCGAAGGCTCATACGACGCTTTTTCTTAACACAGCAGAATACTGCCATGCTAAGGAAAAACGCCGTATGAACATTCGAGAGTAGCCAAATTTTCTCGGATAAAACATGTAATTTTGAGAAAAGTTACGCATATTTTTCCTTGAAATTTTCAGATTTTTGAGATTAAATCGTGAACAAAATCGACCGAAAAATTTGAGGGAAAATATTCGCAATTTTGTAGGTAAATTCGGTTTTTCTTGAAAGAATTATGGCAACGTCTAAAGGTTCATACGGCGTTCTTCCTTAGCACGGCGGAATAGCTTGCGAGCGTGCTACGTATTCGCGGCCCGGCGCACGCAGTCAACTAGACAAAGGTGGTCACGAAGCTCGTTGACACGGGTTTGACATGGACTTGACACGCGTTACACGGCTCAAAATCGGTTAGCGCCGGACAAAAAAAAAAAAATGAGGGAAAGGTAAGACAAAGGTGAAATAACGCCGGAGGCCGCCAGGTGGCAGGTATGCCGAACGGACGTCAAATATGAAAACTATGCGAGCTGAGCAAAAACACAAGGAAGGAACTGCGGGCACTAGGATTTGCAACAATAGTGTAGGACGACACGGTGCGCCGGGTCGCCGACTCCATTTGAATAAATG